TTTTCGAAATTGAATTTTATCATATGAATCGAGTTTACTATGCAATTTTAATTGCTGTTAATAAACAAATCAGGAACTTCCTTAACACAAATTTACTGCTCTGTGCACCAGGATGTGACATATTTGTGACAGGTTGAGGATGCTAAGAAAAATTTAGGCGGTTGTTTGATTTATGTAGTGTAAGAAGTTCATATATTCAATATACATATAATATGGTGTAATAAATAAATTAGTACATATTTGGATAATACTAAACTGGGATTCACTTGGTGTAAGTGAAAAGGATAAATTAATAAAAAAATTCTAAACATCGAAAAAAAACCTTTAATTAATTGATGTAGGTAACGTAGGTTAAACAGAATGTACACTTATGAACGTCAAAATAGAAATATACATTAAATGCTTCTAATTGTACATTGACTGCCAGTTCTCAAATAAAGGGCATAGAACGGAATCAATTTACAGACAATTTACTAGACAGTTCTTTGAGCAGTTTAATACATAACTTAAACTTATTTACATTTTAGAACAATTATAGTCATTCTTAAAATTGTCGTTGAAAGGTTGAACTCAAGTAAAAATTAAATCAAAATAACATCGAGACATGCAAAAGTGACATACATAATTCTTTAAAATATCATTACACACGATATGGTTTGCGATATTATTAAAAAGCAATTACTTTTTACATAATAAAAGGGCCTCGGAGCTTATTCTGTCTTTTTTAAATGACATAAAGAATAATCTCTAAAAAATAATCGTAAATATGGTACTTATAAAGTTAAAAGTATTTAGAATAAACACAGCCTTATCGAGTACGCCTTAAACAAATATTTTGGTGTCAAACAGGTGTTGGTGATTTACTTTCACAGCCAACACATGACGTACATTACGTTATTGACAGTATAAACCACCCTGAAGGACAATCGAGCGTGGGAGCATCGCGGGGGTACCCACTAATGGATGTTCAAAATCGTCTTATTACTTTTGTATTATTGTTGCTTTTTGTCCGCCATTACAATGACCGCATTGCATAATAGACGCACGCAGTCCAACACAATTTTTTGCAGCAATTGAAATCGTCCTGTCTCACATTACACAATCAAATGTGTCGTTGATTCGATACTGTATACCTAATAGATACTATCTATCTATACGGAGGATGTTTATCGGTGAATTCCTCGTACGCTACACTAAATCCATTGTCCTGCATCCGAATCGCTATAAAGAATTTATTGTTTTACGACTGGAATTTAAATATTATTTAAAGTGTACATAAGGGGGATAAGGGGGAAGTGTGGCAGCTAGGTGGATCAAGGAGGAATGCAACTTCGCCAACTCACACGCCCAGAATGAGTCGGATCTTTTTTTAAGGCGCTATTCCTGGAAGTGTTCGTCGATCGGTCGGAGGCTGGCGCTCGCCGGCCGTTGTGCCGCGGCTAGTTTTGATCTTATTGTTAATGGGACGCCAAGTTTTTTCGAAGGCTTCGGAAAAAAGGTTTCATGGTAACCCAGCGGAAACGTTACGGGTCCATGTGAAGTAAACTGTATATGTATACGTTCTACGAAGGTGTTATTTTTAATCGCAGGTCGTCCATTGTTGTTCAGGAATGTAGATGGCCTGTCATAACCGTAATGGGCGAGATGAGAGGATCCTGCATTTCTATATATCTCTCGTGAATTAAGAACAACGAATAAAAAACTATGACGTTAAAAATTGTGCGACAAGATCTTAAACTTTGCGATTTATTTTATTCTCTAAAATGAAATTATTTCTCTTACTTGTTTGATTTTTGTGAAATATCGAAAGTTTATTCAAACTTTAGCGAATATTATTAAAACGACGATTCCTTTGTCTTGACGCTCAACTGATCGCTTTTAATTGTAACATTAACATTTATAAAAACGGTTAAAATTAACTAGTATATTCACAACGTAAAAACTTTATACGCTCGAAAGGTCACTATTAAAGATGCCTACAAAGTATCGAATCATTCTCATTACTTTACACTTTCAAAGGAATCACTTAAAATAATCTCCAACATATGAATGACACGGGTTTACGAGGATCCCTCAAACAAGAGGATTAATATCTGTGTGTGCGTGTGCCTCAAGGAATTTGAAGGTCCAATTACTAGCGGCCGCCTTTCATTAACAACTTTATTTATAGAGGCATGAATAGTGAATACATTGCGGCTTTTTAATCAATCATGTGGGATAAAACCGGCATCCGGCCTTATCACCGCTAAACCAGAGTAAAATATTGCTTGAAATACAAAACATACTTTTACGTCACGCGCGCACATTAACCGATTGTTTCATAACAGTAACGTACGCAGTTAACTCTTTATCAATCTAACCCGCAAGTAGGCCAGTTACATGTTTGTTGTGGAGAAACAGCTTTTACGAGCCATAGCAATTTCATGTTTCGAGAATTTCCAATTAGCTGAAAGAGAGCTATCCCGTTTCCAAGGTCCCATCGGTAAATGGTTCATTACCCAGGCTCGAGTGGCCAAAGCGACCGAAGGCCGCACGCACTTCCAAAAAACGTCCCGAGACGTAACATAATATTTCCCAAGCAGCCGTTTATTTATTAGACGAGCAACGGCCCGGCGCCGCGACAACTCTGCTTCTGAGAAACGAACACCGACGTGTCGACTCGAAGCCGTTACATTTAAAAAAAGCAATATTTATGTTGAAGAAAAAATCTGGATACCACTCGTACTTATCTCCGAACCGTGAGCTTTTTGTTTAAATCCCGATTTGCAGGAATCCGCAGGTAACGCCTCACTGAACTCGGCAACAATTTGTTAACCATGTTAAACATTTGGGTGTGGTTTCGGACACAGCAATTAAGAACATTTAGAGCCGCTTGCCAAAGAATTTTTTAACTAAGTTTCTGTAAATATCTAGTAATATTCACGAGGGGCGAGAATGTTAAAAGTAAAGCTAGGCTCCAAGTATGAGACGGAATAATTGTGCCTATTATATTCATTTAAATTTCATAAGGAATGTTGTTAATGCATTCGAGGATCGTGTGACGAATTCTATAGGTACTTATAATAATTACATTACAAATTAACTTTAATAACCTTAAAGCTTAAAGAGAAGGACGGAAGAACGGCATACAGTTCGATATTATTGATTAATGATTAAAGAAAATGTGCACAGACTTTCCTTAAGTAATCAAATAAGAATATGAGCAAAGCTCTTAAAATCGTATTACGAACTCATAGCAAAAACAAAATATACCTAATGATAAGTGATCTACCTTAACTTTTAATATGTCATGTGTGTCATATAATCGACAGATAATCCTTAGATTAGTTAACAATAATCTTTACTCGACAGCTTGACAAATAAAAGGAAGCCCCGCAGCACAATAGATTGGGAGCTGACTCCGTAAGCCGATTACAATCCTCTAATTTGCTGTTCTTTTTTAGATCTAGTTTCATTAATTTCAGGTAAATCCCTTAGTCAAAACTGTCTTCCTACTTCAATTGGTAACGCCCTTTTTTAATATCATTATGAGAGTTGCGTTCCCGAAAATGTATTAGTGAAGATACATTTACAGTTATAATGTACCAAAGGAATTAATTGATAGATGTTTAATTAACAAAACGTAACTTATTAGATAAACATTGTTTTATATTTTACCTGTGGATATTGTGTCAAACCCAAATTAAAACCCTCAAAAATATTATTAAGAACAATCAATATAAAAAGGCTTTAATAATGGAACGATAGGTATATTGTCGAATGCAATTTGGTTTACGCCAACATGTTCCAATAAGCTTCATATACATATTACATTGTTTACATAACTTTATTTCGAACGCTTTACAGCATTCGTGGTCAGTAGTCAAGTCTTATTTATATTGTTAAACTAGCAGACTCGGCCAAGCGTTGCTATGGCTAAGGATTTTGTTATATTAGATAGAAGTTAACTATTCAAGGGAAACGGTAGGAAAACACTAGTCATGAGGACCAACAAGCTTTTGGCATTAAATTGTAGCTTATGTGAAATTTTGGTACATTCAACACGGCGCCATCTATTAGGATTGTGACTGTCAAAAAAATAACTGACTGACAAATAATTTGCAATCAAATAATATTGCGGATACAAATTAAGATGTAAGCTAACCTATCTTTTAATTTAGATCAAACTACACACGGTGTGCAAATTTTATTGAAATCGCTTAGGATAAGGTTAAGAGTCCATAGCGGCCAAAAACGTGACCGGTAATTTATATAGGTATATTAAGATAAACAAGAGTGACCTGTCCTCTCATTTATTAAACAGCAAAAATTAAATATTCTATTACAAGATAAGATACCTATTAACGGTTACGAAATAGGCCTACTGTTTTTAGGTATTACTTAGTTAATATAACTCCATGGTATTGCTGCTCACGTTCTCATTAGCAATCCACGTTGCTTATGAACGTGAAATGAACAGCTTTTTCTAGGTGTCGCGTCGATAAGAATATAGAACGAACCGGTGGTACCTACGTTTAGTTTTACAGTGGTTATTAAAACGGAATGACGCCGACTTTGTTGAGTACGTTGACATGCGTTAGACCAATCACAAACAAACGTAAAGTGTCATCGTTTCTTACATTCAAGCGCTCTATTTTTGCTCTGGGTTATTAAATTTTGTATCAGGATGTTAAATTTAACGCACAAACATAAAACATCTTATCCACATAGGTTTTTAAATCTAGTTCAGAAATAAATCAAAGATCATACTTTATAAATTATTTATTGTACAAATCAAATGCTTTCATACACGGGTGTCAAATTGATTATATAGTTCTCGCGGGAAGATAAGATGAGCTTGCAGCAGCGAGTAGCCGATTAGCCTGCCTGACACGTTGACTTTTGGGTCAAAGACGGTCCGGTTTCTCCACCGTGTGCTCAAAAGAAAAGCACACGAACAGACGAACCCACGACCTCACGATTGAGAGACATTTGTTGTTTTAATTGTTCATAAAATGTGACTATGTATCGCTATCACTCCCAGAGTAATCGGCCAACAAGGAGAGACCGGAAGGTTTACTCTCCGGCGCCTTTTCACTGCTCGAAACCGTGGCCTTTGCTTCACTCGCATCTGCCTTTTTGCTTCTCACGAGATTTGCTAAGGGATTTTTCTTTGAAATAACACCGATACTCCTGTTCCAAGATTCTGTTTTTGCTTGAGGTTTTGGCGGCGGGTCTTCCATCTTTATATGTTTTGCTGCCGGTTCTTCCACGTCTTCAATTATTTCTTCTGCGACCACTTTCGGTTTTGTGTTCGTGAATTTAACGGATCTGTAACATAAACGTATTTTCGCGTGAGTTCACTCTATGTGAACAATTTTAAAGCTATGTAAAGCAATTTCGTGTATATAAAAGTAAAAAAAATATTAACCATTATTACACTAAATGCAGACAATATTAAACAGAAATATGTGAAGTATTACACCTTCTCATATCAATTTATTATTTATTACATTATTTTCTTTTTATACATAATATATGAAGCAGGCGGTAGCAACTTATGGATACCCAGGCAAAACCCAGGTGACCACACCACATATATATTTTCTGTAAACTCGACAGAAAAGTAATATGAACAGCTGAATCGAAGATGTTAACTTAATACTAAGAAAAATATTAAATATGTAGGTTGGTTGCATAGGCCCAATTCTTTACTAATCAATATTTTGTTTTATGTAAAAGGGGGCAAACGGGCAAGAGGCTCATCTGATGTTAAGTGATACCTCCGCCCATATACACTCAAATTGCCAAAGTGTTTGCAAGAGCATTGCCGGCATTTTAAGAATTGGTACGCTCTTTTCTTGAAGGACCCTAAGTCGAATAGTGGTGGAGCGCGGCTAAAACTGCCTTAAAAAACGCTCAGTTGTGTAACGACGGACGTCGCGGTGATACGGGTGAAATTTCGTATACTGCCTCGACGTCCAATGATGAAAAACTGCAGGTATTAATCCGAACAACTTCTAAATGCGGTAGAAGATGCAGAGAGACCCCACATCTCTTCGCAACGCCAAGGGATCAAGCCGCTCGGAAAGTGTCTAGTCGTCGACCATTCGAACCGCTCTATGTTGAATAAGGTCAAGTGGAAAGAGCTGGTACTGGGGAGCTCCCGCCCAGAGGTGAGGACAGTACTCCATGTGGAGATAAAGCTGACGAAGGGATATCCAATTCACTTGGAAAGGTTTGCCGAAAGACCAGAAGGCTCGAGTCCCCGAAGGGAGTTCGGCCAATTTCTAGCCAAATCTGGGAATGTGCTTTGACTTTGCCTTAGCGAGTTTCCGTTTGAAGTTCTCAAAGTCGTGAAAGGATGTTCCCGCGTGATCGGTGGTTTCAGAGAAAAGCCAATCGATATACCTAGTGGGCGTTAAAATCGCTAACTATCACGATTTCGGCGGTCGGACTCCTTTCGAACATCTGTAGTTATTTGGATGTGCTTGATGAATCGGTCAGTTTTAGCGTTTCCGCTATGGGATTTATTATTACGAGATCCGGCTGCAGGATTAGTGCGCTCATCTGTTATTTGCTAATTTTTTTGTATATGTATAATTAGGAGAATGTATATCTACCAATTTGGCCGCTTGTATTTTTAATGAAATTATTTTGAATTGATTTTTGGGAGAGCATTTCGTTCACTTTTTATTAAAACAAAATATCGTCTACATCATAACCTTGGCACCTTGGTAGATATACATTCTCCTAATTATACATATACATAACAATTTGGTTTTTAGCAAATAAAAGATGAGATGAGTCGCGGATGGTCATCGCATGGTCATTGCCATTTTTTACTTATATTAATGTCGGCTTATACTTTAATACACTACAATTAACGTAATGAGTGACATCTAAACAACATTGAGAGAAATAAGTCATATAACATCTAAAATTCTCCTTCACATTTTAAAACATTCAACTTTATAAATATATAATTTTGACTTGAGAAGTAGGTCCATAATCATTTAGGTAGTCTTAATTACAATTTTGTTTTATTCTATAGTATTGTTATTAGTCAAACCATGATAAAGTTCATTTGAACCTTGATGATTGGGATTTGATTTCACAAGAAATGTCTAATTCAAACTACTTGGTAAAGCAAATTTATATTTGCATAACTAATATTAATTCACTCTTGGTATATTTAAATACAACTTAAATGTCTTGAAATAGTGAGCCTAGGAAATCGGCTCGGGGAGAAAAAACAGTAAATAAAGAAGATGTGGACATGCTAGGTAAGTACATGCAGAATTTGGTGCCTTTGACATGTTACCAAAAGATGGACTTTTTGTAACAAATGCAAACAGCTTTGTGAAACTCTGTAATATTTGTTTCAGCATGTCAGACCGCATTCTAGGTACCCCGCAGTGCGCTCACACTTTTTACATACCCAAATAGTTATTATACATAACATAGAACTTCTGAATTAAATTATTGTTACTAAATTGTGTATGTATACTTTAAATTTATATTTACTTTATAAATTCATTGTCTTCCTGTTCCTCTCTAGCTATTCTTTGTTCCGTTGTTTCTGGCTGATATTGTTTCAACATTCCTTCATAATCAACAGTCCTCTGTCTCCGATTTAAATCCTTCAACTCTTCTAAGCTTTCCAACAACTCAATTTCTTGTCTCGATTGCTCTGTTCTGTATTCTGCAAAAGCCAATTAGATAAATAGCAAAATGCAATAAAACAATGAATTTTTATTTACACACAAATATAGAAAAAAAAAATTTATTAGATAGAAATTTGAATATCCAAAAACATGTAAACTACAAACTAACACGATAAAATCAAAATTTTTATGTTATTAAAATCTAGAAGAAAGCTAATGAGGCTAATGTGGAATACCTTAAGAGAGAAGGTAAAGGATGTAGGAAAAGTGGTAGATATTGTTTTTTCCCGTTTTAAGAGAAGTTATTGATTATATCATATTGGGTATAATTTATTGAATAGCATATCGATGAATACTAATAACAGACTATAATATATTGAATGATTAAAGATGATTCTTCCAAATCCACTTATTGTCATTATCTTTTATTATTGGAAATGGGACATTATTTACACACTGTTTAATTTAACTAATATCCACATATTGGTTAACACAGGTGTTTTCAATTTTTTTTTATAATAACTAATATGAGAAATCATTACTTAAGTATTAAGCAAAAAGATTACCTAAAAGTTTCATAGGATTATTAGCTTCCTCCTCCTTTTGTTCTTCTTCCTCTCGCTTAGCTTGCTCCTCTGCTAATTTCAGAGCCATGAAATTTCTAGTAGCACCAGCCTCTATTTCATAATCTGTATTTTTAGGGTCAGTTTTAAATGAAATCTCTTGAAGACACCTTGTGCACTGGAAATCCATAATAACAATTATTATTAATATTTAAATTTCTTATCATTTATGTGTTGTCTTGCTAAAGAATTCGATATTTTGAGTACTTCTCAGCCATTTTGGCCTACAAAAGACTTGTGTCCTTTAAACTATCAACTTACTTTAATATAAAACCTATATATCCGTATACCCAAATAATCTTCGTTTTCTACATCCTCCTTACGAGCGTTGAATTTTTTTCCTTTATAAATGTACTCCCCACAAGTGGCGCATCGCATGTTGAATGGGGCCATAAGACGGACTGTATATTGGCGATTTTTTGCCAATTTCATGCGAGGAATCTTCGACGGATCGAAATCAGGAGGATAGTATTTCTGAAAAAAGTAAAACAAATATAAGAATGGACATTATTTAATATTACCAAACTGTAGTCCCATCGAAATACTTACATTCAATACTTTTCTTTCCGACATCTTTTATTGTTGGTTTTTATTATCAGTTTAAGCCGTCTTAAGATAGAAAAACACTAGATTTTTATGAGAAATAATACGATCAACAAATAATTCACACGAAAGTGCCACTTGAACAGAGACACGGCGATATGTCGTTAGTTTGAGGAATGACAGATTGACAGCTCTCAGTTGACACGACGGCACCAACGAGAAATGAGCATAGATAATTAGATAGCGGCGGTCATGCACTATAACTGTTTATTACTTAAAATCTATTAAATATACACCTTAATAAATTAAGCTAATCTCCTATTTTTGATTAGCGTTAATTTTAATGCTGTGATATAATTTTGATGAAACCAAAACGTATACAACTATTTATATAGGTACGTACAAGGGACGCTACGCATGATTACGTCGATTTTACAGTTTCGAAGTTTTTTATAAAATATGTCGACTTTGCATGTTTTTTAAATTTTAGGCAAGACAAGCAGCAAAAGCTTGAAGCAAAGTATTGGCAAATGTAATCCACATTTCTAGTAGAAATTTTGTACTGGAAAATTGTTTGATACTTTATTAATACACCCACAATTTCATTACAATTACACAAACAGTACAGGTACAAGGAAACAGTAATTTTATTGCTATGATATCAAATAGTATTGTTCTGCTTCTCAAAAGAAGATGAATTTCCTGAAACAATAGAAAAAATAGATATTAAATAAATTAAGTAGTCTTCTAGTTGCCAGTTAATAATTATATTTACATATTCTTCTAAAGTTAATATTGAAAGTGAATAGTATTTACGCATTCCTCTTATTAATCATATATTGTAGGTTTTGAGTTTTACCACACGCAGAAAAAACTAAGCCGAGAACTTAAAAAAAAATAAGTTTGTAACCTGTCTTTCCGATTACCGCCAGCAGCGAGTTCGTGTTCTAGAGCAGCAATTTTCGTTTCGTGGCGCGTTCTCTGCACCTGCGCCCGCCGCTGCTGATCCTCCAAAGCGAGGACAATCTTTTCCAGCCGATGAATCTGTTGCTGTTTCGTTTCTAATGTTGCAAACAATTCTTGAATCTCGTCGGCTTTGGCTGCGATTTGCTTGTTTACCTATTTAGCAAGAAACATCTTAATATTCGTACACTCAACGTACGGACTTACATTAGTGAGAAAATAATATTTTAGTTGAGTGTACAGATACCGGAAAACATCTTGAACATTAAACAAAGGAGTGGGGAAAAGTTTTCGCAGCGCGGGACACAAACGTCAACTGATTTACCAATCACGCGATCGACACGTCACTCTCCCGCCGCCGCGCACTACCGCCCGCCGCCTCCCGCCCAGTGATACCTAAAAATAGCTTCTGCGCAGGCAAGGACATTTGTTCAAGATGTTTGCCAGTATCTGTATCTAATCGTACTATTTAAAATGGTTAAACAAACGTACAGTGCCAAGATAAACTAAACTCCTTCTGAGCCCTAGTATTTCCACTAGTAACTAGCAAATCTAAATACATTATTAATTAAATAAATACAAATATATATTATAAAATTCTTTCGCTACAAACAATAATAAAAAAACGCGTCTCACTCCATCTACAATTTTCATTCGGTGATCTAAATCTTGTTGCAATGCAGACAGCTCGCGAGTTTGCTCCATTTCTTTGTTCTTGAGCACGTTAATCAATTCTTCACGAATCTGTACCACAGCTTATTATAATTAACAGAATTACATTTAAGTGAAAAAGTTAGAATGACCATCAAACATAGAGGCTATTTTTGTAGTTATACTTCTTTAGGCGCGTTATGAAAAATTTATGAGAGTGAAATTTTACGATGCGCGCGCACCGTGACAGAAAATTAACAGAATGAAGTTACCCAACAAGACAGAAATGGAACCTCTGTTAGTGGCGCATGTTGGCACGCAAGCCGCCTCTGTTCACTGTATTTATATTTTATATTTATAATATTTATCCACATGCTTTGAGTTTCTACATTTTAAACACGTGTTTTCATTATACAAGTGCGAATTTTATATGTGCATCTGAATTATAATCAGAGGTGATTTAAATTGAATATTTAAATCAATACTAATTAGTATTAGAAAATATTTGTGAATAAACTGTGCTCATCAACCATCCTAAGTGCTTCAATGCAATTGAGGTTAACTATCCGTATACAGTATTATTAATAATGCCAAAGAAGTATAACTTATTACGCGCGTACATAAGTACACGCTGCCTTTTTTTGTGTCTATTTTATCGTCTTCTTACTATTTAGTTACATAGGTACTCGTAATTATATCGGTTACAAACATCTGTACGTTGATAGACAACTATAAACACTATCGGTGAAACAAACCCATCACTAAAATGTGTTTTATAGTCTAAAAAAAGCACTTAAAAATTGTTTCAAAAAGTATGACCTTGAGGAATCTTGCCTGTGTACGTGCTGTTTTGTCTTGCTGTTCAAGTTGTTGTTCCTTTTGCGCTAACATTTCGGAAAGCTCTTCGTTGCGATGCACAGCGTCCAGAAGACTCATTTTTAGGGTCATAACCTATGAAACGAAATGTATTTATTAGATACAAGATTTTTATCAAGATAAATTGTATATATCTACCAAAACTACATATAACTCCTACAATTACCTCCTGTTGAAGCTCCGGATAACAAATTCCACCCGATGTATCTTGGCTATTTATTAAAGCGCGATTGTGAGCTTGTAAGTCGTGGACGTATTTTTCGTATTGCACAACTTTCTGCTCACTGCAATAGAAATTTGCAATAAAGCTTCGAGACCTACCATTAACGGCGCCACATTGCTTTGTTATTATAAAAGGTGGGTTACCATGTAGGCTGTAGCTATACAGGGTGGCCAAAAAGTCGTGGATCAAACGCAAATAGGGGATAGATGAGGTCATCAGCGGCAAAAAATTGTTCTACGGGAGGTCTCTAAGGTCAACCCCTGCAGAGTTATGATTTATTTTGGTTTTTATATGAAAATTGACTTTTTTTACTAATTCTTATTAAAATTCGAAAAAATCTACATCCTGTATTTTTTTCATAATATCCACTAGATTGGTACTGATGAGTTCTTGCGTAAGAAATACTATTTATAGTTGTTTATTGAGTGTATTGAAGATAATATTAAGTTATACGATATAATTTTTTTTCAAATCAAAACTTTTTGTTTATGTCGGACCCCACTGTGAAAAAAAATTACTCTACCGAAAAGTGACCCTGTATTACAAGTTTTAGCGCATTTAATATAGATTCTGAAAAGGTATTACACATGGCCATGAGTCGCTCTAATATCTTTCTAGGACGAAAAAACAACAACGATTCGGACTTATGATAGATTAATTATTTACCTACCTCTGACCAGTACTGTGTGAATCGGACTAGATTCAAAAACTTGGACAGATGGCTGGAGGGTTACGTAGGAATTTGATTAGATGGTGCAGATTAAGTATTATGGTCAGAGTCAGGAATTTTGAGCATATTTTATTGTAAAATATTTTGTTTCCTACAAACAACCATTGAGAAATAATTGTTTTAATACAATTATTATTTCACAATCGTTGTTTGTAATTCTTCCTAGAAAGATATTAGAGCGACTCATGACCACGTGTAATACCTTTTCAGAATCCATATTAAATGCGCCAAAACTTGTAGTACATGGTCACTTTTCGGTGGAGTGATTTTTTTTCACAGTGGGGTCCGAACAATAATTTATGATTTGAAAAAATGTTATATCGTATCACTTAATATTATCTTGAATACACTCAATAAACAACTATAAATAGTATGTCTAACGCAAGAAGTCATCAGTACCAATATAGTGGATATTATGAGAAAGATACAGGATGTAGATATTTTCGAATTTTAAGAAGAATTAGTAAAAAAAAGTCAATTTTCATATAAAAACCAAAATAAATCATAACTCTGCAGGGGTTGTCCTTAGAGACCTCCCGTAGAACAATTTTTTGCCGCTGATGACCTCATCTATCCCCTATTTGCGTTTGATCCACGACTTTTTGGCCACCCTGTATATTGGATAAACATTGTTTAAAAACATATATTTTTAAAAAGGTCAAAAATAATTTAAAAAGTTAAAATAGAATTAAGTTAAAAGCTCTTTCAGTTATCTCTTCAAAATCTATGACTGATAAGCATTAAATTCCAAATTCTACTATTACAGATTATATAATCTGAGTCGTAACAGTCTCAAATTCTATATAGAAATAGAATACCAGTTACACTTACTGGAGCTTGATATTCTTCGTTAGATCACGGAGCTGTGTTTGCATTTTACCAATAATTTCCTCTTTACTCAACAATTCGGCTGCCAACTTTTGCTGCAAGGCCATTTCGTTTTCTGTGTCCTATTATACAATACAACACATTGAATTAATGTGTTAATATACTAATATGTATGAAAAAATATTATCACCTTTAAGTTAAACAGTAAAACGAATCTGGTACGAAACTCTACAACAAAGAAAACAAAAATTCATTTGATAGTTACCTGCTATGATTTGAGAAACTAATTTTATACTTTAAAAACATTATGAATGCGTGCACTCGGCAAATGATGATTATTCTTAGTTTACGAAACTAAACTTGACTTTAATATATATTTTAGTAGCCAGAGAGAGCTCGGTTTACATTTTAGATTTAGGTTTAATTTGTAAAACAGTGAAGTTTATCACTCCCATAGTTCTATTGATAAGGACAAAGAATACTGCAGAACTTCGTTAGACATTACTCGTAAAATAGTAATTAAATAATTACTGCTATTTTGGTCATAGTCTCCAGGAAGCGAACTTTTTCCCGTTTACATGCAATCACTTCATCTTCAGTCATGCGCAAAGTATCTTTCGTAGCTTGAAGCTCAGCCCACAGATCCATTTCCCTCTCCGTTGGAAGATCTTAAACATAATTATTTTAAAATAAGATTTGATTAAAATAGATATTTTTATGACATTTAAGTAATTTGTATCATATATATTGATTCGTTCTCAACCTAACCTTTACCAATAGATATAAACTAATCTTTAGATGCAGTCCAACATTTTTAATATTTACAATAGGGTACTTGATAATATAAAATGATAATATAAAATAATATTTTAAAATAATACCAGGGTTTGGCTTATTCCTTTCATATTCATCAATTTTGGCGTGGAGCTCTTCAATAGTATTACGACTCTCATTGAGTTCTTCTTGAAGTGCATTCTTAAAGCCTACTTCTCGTTGTGTCGTTTCGCGTTCTGCTTCCAAAGCTAGATTAAGTTCTTTTAGTTGGTTGTTAAGTTCTTGAACAGATGATTTATGCTGCGCAGTCATACTCTTTATTTGGTCTTTTAAATCGGCAACTCTGTAATAATCACAGTTCATTACTTTTTACAATAATTACATCCATGGTGACATGGAGACCAGGATTTTTTAAGATTTAAAGGAACTTTTCACGTAAAACTGATCTTTGTAAACTAATTCCTTCACTCGTTCTTAATGTTTTGTAAACACTCTCACTCATGAAGAAAAAGCTTACTCAGCTTCCAAGGCATCACGTTGCTGCACCAAATGTGTATTTGTAACTTCTCCAGTCTTAACGGAGTCCCTCCATTTCCGTGCTCTCGCTTCTAGTTGCACTTCACGCTGACGACCCTAAATTAACAAAGGTTAACATAATAGTAAAACCATGCTTTCACCCACCAGTTCCGATTTCCATTACCTGGTCCTCCAAACTTTTCACCGTACTGGTGAGAGTAGTGATGCTAGCCTCGGCTTCACGAAGCTGTCTATCCATCTTAGATATGCGCATCCGCTGCTGTCTCACTTGAGCCTCGCTGGCCGCGAGTTTGTCCTTCATGGCCGTTTTCGCTGCTTGTTCATCTTCTAACTCTCGTCGTGTTTCCTGTGATTTTAATTTGCATTTAATTTTAATTTAATGAAACATATTTTTGGTTCAGATTTGAAAGTTTTACCTTAGAACTTTCTTGAGTCAGATCGCAGAGCTGAGTGCTGCTTGAAATTTGAGAGATGTAACTACAAGAATTAAATAATGTTTATAAGTTACCGCCAACACTTTTTTGGTTTCTTCATCAGCAGGAGTTTCGCGGACTTCGGTTACAACTGTCGCCCTCGTTTCTATGTCTTGTCGCAAACGTGCTACTTCTCGTATCAAAGACTCTCCAACAGATATTAAGGTGGCTCTTTCTGAACAAGCGCGTCTGCAAAAAGTATTATTTATTTGTAAGTGTGAATTCCTAAGAGACAAAAAACATGGCATTTGGTAATTTTTCTAACTTTGATAGTAACGTTATAGTTTCCACGGCGTCGTCAGCTCGTGCTTTCAAATCACGTAGAGCTTCACACATTTCCAAACCCCTTTTGTTGTAGGCATCGATTCGATCTATTGCATCACTGTCTGGCTCCTCCTGCAAAACGTACAATTGTATACTTCAAACCAAATGTCCGATGCGAACTAAACTTGCTTTAGCTTAGTTAAAATTTCTGAGCTAGTCATAATAAAGAGTCGAATCGCATCGTTCAGTTTGTGTTGGACATTCGACGTAATGCTTTGGGATCTTCTTTCATACAACAATTAATGCAAGTTTTTTTACATACCTCTTTCTCTATGTATCTTTTTACCCAGTCGATTAACTCTTGGCGTGCGGCAAAGGCTTGAAGACATAGCTCGGCGAAACAGGAAGGGATATTCATTGCCTTACATTCAGCATTGGTGAGAAAATTTTCATCTAATTAAACAAAATAGTTTCAGAGAATTGAATATTCATATAAATCCTACACTAAAATGGGCAGCTTCTAAGCAGCTACCTGTTGCCTCCGAGATGCCTTTCTATTGAATAAATTTTCTAAATCGTTGCAAAAGTGTAGTTGTAGTCTTTAGTAAAATATATCCGCCCATTAATAAAGCTTCGATTAAAAATGCTACCGTATTTCTACCGCTTACGATTTAAATAAATTGTAATCACGGTATCCACCGTTACGATTTAAATAAATTGTAATCACGTTATCCACCGTTGGTCCACGTCTTATAAAAATGCTGATGCATTTTCCCCTTTGGATGTTTATGGATATGGATAGATAAAATAAGATAACTTTGATTAATTTTAAATGAATGCCATTTGTCTGAATGGGTGTTGGTAATTATTAGGTATATTCAGAACGTGTTATTTGTTACAGAAAGGATACTGCAAGCATACCTAAAGGAATGCTACTGTTAAACAATTCCACAGCACCATCTGTTGTAGTACTCTGTCTACACAGCTCATGGATTTCTTCTTCCGTCCAATCCGCAACATTACATAGTACGAGTTCCGGTGCACCTTCCCCACTAGCCAGATGACCCTCGTTTAGCAACCGTTCGTGTAAACTTCGTAGAGTCTCAAACACCTCTAATACCGCTTGCTGCAAAGATATAATAAATTACAAAGACAAATCAAACGTTGGCAACGAAATAATATTGTCTTTTTTTTAATCTAAGATGTTAAACCTGTAGACTGACGTTTCTCAATGTTCTCAAGATTAAATAAAGAAAAATCTATGCTCAGCAGGGGTCCAAACCCACAACCTTTAGTTAAAAACACTTTTAACAATTTATTATACTCGTATACCTTACCTGCTTTAGATCGAGCTCCTTTTTCAGCCGATGAAACTGCTTTTGCTTGGCAGAATACACGCTTTTAATATCATTGTCATTTGATATTTGATTTGATCTTGGTTCATTCGTTGGGGTAACAGGGCGAATGGTTTTTAAGGGAGTTTTCGGTCTAGAGGTGGCCTTTTGGGGGGTATTGGGTCGACTGCAAGGGGTGTTCGTTCTTTGTTGGGACGGAGTTGACGGTCTGCTTGACATGCGTGGGGTAACAGGGCGAGCTTTAGGTGTTTGTGGACGGCTTACTAAGGGCGTTTGTGGACGGCTATTTATTGGTGTTTGTGGTTGAGTTTCGTCTATTGTTTCTGAAATATAAATATATCAATTCCGTAGTTCCGTTATTCCGTATTTCAATGTAAGTGAATTTTCTTAAACATGCCTATAAACTTAAGAGTGACCTGCACAAACTATAATGCAATTGATATTGTGTGACAAATATCTCCCACGAATTTATTACAAGTCCCATAATTTCCACAATCGGACAAAAAGTAGACCCAACGAGACAAAGGTCTCTTCATCGAAAGTCTAGTGAAGGTCACCTGTGTATAAACTACTAAACCATTGAGGTGATGTGATTCTATACGAATAGTATATGTCGTTAATACCTACTTGTGGTTTATTCGGTTTGCCAATGTTACTAGATCTACAAATTTACAGACTATTTGACAATCTGTCGTAATAGTAATTTAGTCATTATTATTAATGTCGGAGCAACATCAAAGTCAAATTAGTTCAAATAATACTAGTATTTCATTTAATTTGTCAATGTTGCAAGCTGAAGATAGATAAATTAACGACTATTCAATGGTCGGTAATACTAATGACCTTAATTTAATAATTAGTTATTATTAAAAGTAATTATTCTTAACTTTTAAACTTAAGTCATTAAATATTAAAGAAATCATTTTACAATTATTTCTACGACTGCCGTTTGACTCTGTAGGCGATTTGGGTTCGGTCGTGGAACGTGTTCACGAAACTTGTTTATCACAAAATCGGGTTGCTATAAATACAGGCTCTTGTTTTGCTCACCATTTATGACCACCAGCTGAGCATCTTCTTGTTCTATATTGTAGTTCTCTTCCACAACTGTCATCTCTAAAACACATACGGTTTATTTCGGACTGTAGAATTATATGGTCTTATTTATAAACAAAGTATACGCTATGATTAATTGTTTTGCCATGTTTTTATAATGGTTGTATAATTTTGTTTAATTGTACTCAAATTACACGTTTTTCGACAAAGCTTCATTACTTCAGTACCACTCTTAAACAAAACTATCCATTCGACTTAAAGTGTACCTAAATTTACTGCGGCACGCTGTTGAATTCTTTTTGCCTAGCGTTCCATAACAGGGAGAAGTTATGGCTGAAGTTTCCTTTTTGTTGTCTGTACTTATTTTGCTTTGGTTTTGTATTGTAAAGGTACATTTATATGCCTTCTACGCTTACCCTTTTTTTAAGACAGGACTCGAGCGAGGATATATCCAAAATGATTCCCGTATTAACTTCATGCCCTATAACTTCTTAAATAAATTGAATTACGATTAAAAAGGCGCAAAACCTTCAATGTTATTCTGGTGGATTTCTGCAAACGCCACAACAGGAACGTTTTCTACTTTGTCGACATTTATTTCCGCCACTTCGTACACTATTTCGTGCCTATCCTGTACCTGAAAAATTCATATAAAGGTCAAAGGCCCATCAACATTTTCGTCAAGTAGGATCAAGTTCGATAGTTTTAAAAAAATATTATTTATTATGCAATTTGTTCATAATGTTAAATTAACTTACTATAGTTGGTGGTGGATTCTCTGGTTCACGGTTTCTGTTCACCTACAAGATAACTTAAATTAGCATGACGCTCAAAGATTGCATACCATCCGAATAAAATATTGTTTTACTGTAAATGGAACCATGTCATACCAACCAATCCGAAACAATATTGCGACGCCGAAAATCAAACCCCGGAACCGTGTGCGTTATAAATTAATTATTCAATAAATTAATTAATTTACATAAAACTACCTTAATATCAGTCTTCGAGTCAGTCTTGCCACTTTTCAGAATAGCAGTTCTAACCTGCAAATGTATATAACGATTGATTTATACAACCGTTATCTAATCATAGCGTAAAGACAATTTAACAAGAACAATAATTGAAGGGGGGGGTAAATATATGAGTACGTTTTAGTACATATGCCATGAGTTGGATAAAGTATATAAATGTGTTTGCGTCAGCTATTAGTTAAGGCTAGCAAAATTCATGATTTCACCCGCGCGTCTCCCTCCACCCCCTCTATTGACTAGTGAAACAAACGTATGACTGAAGCTCGCGGACGGACATTCGCGGAACAAAATTATTTTTTGGCTAAAATACTCGCCATGATTGATAAAAAGAAAATTAGAGAAAAGTTAAAGGTGACTGTTTTTTTTTATTAAGGAATTATAAGTCAACCATGGATATTATAGTGAAGGAACAATACATATTTATTGTTTTTAATTCAATCACATACTTAGTAAAAATCGTCCGCGCTTAATCTCTTAATCAGTTAGCAAGCAGCAAAATATTAAGGGTTAGCCCTCAATTCATCGTTGCAATTAATTTATACCCGAGATGAAGTTGGAGACGGAGGAGATCTAACCGGTGACAGGCGTGTGGATGGTGTTGTTAAGTTCCTGTTGGTGGCATTCTTCGCAGCACGAGCTGCCGAGGCGGCTGTCGGCCTCGGCGCAAGACGTGGAGCTGCCGTATCTGTAAAGGCACCAGTTCATTACTCAAATATTAGCATGGTTAACGAAAATGTACCATAACCATTGTATAACAGACTGGATGTATAGAGTCTTACCCGAATTGACCTGGAGCAATTATTTTACCAAAATTGTTCGCTATTACTTATAAGAACGTAACTTACGTGGTTTATCTTTGTGTGATTTCACTGTCGTTGACATTTTGATTCATTTGCAATAGGCCAAATCATAAGACAATTAAACTGAATTTTGAAATAATAACATTTACAAGAGTGAACTGAAAGTATGTCTATGTCATAGTTGTTCTGATTTCGAATAGGACAACTTTTTTTCCTATACACTTGACATTGTCTGGCCGTGCAGGTTCTATGTCTCCAATCTGGCGCTTGGAGCTTAAAACGTACAAAATTTGTTGCATGTCGGGAAGAGACACATCATCGATATTAGTGCCTGAAGGTTTTCTAACTATGTTTTAATTAAGAAAATTGAAAATCTTGTACTTTCATGTTTCTTGTAGGTTAATTCATCGGGCTATTAGGACCTACAAACACTTGGTTAGCAGTGCTTCAATTATAAATGTGAGAATACATTGTTATGTTTCAATGTGAATTGTGTACTTATAATATTTTTTTAAAAGGCGAGTATAAAATAAAGGACCTTCTTGATAATTTGACATGGGTCGGTCAAAGTCGTACCAAGTTGGAACCTTTGACTTTGCTTTTTGACAGGTTTTATAAATAATGTTGTGCTATTAGCCTTATTTTGAAAATTTTTGTTAATTTGAAATATTTATGAAATTATGTTTAGATAAAAATTCAGCTATGTCTGGAGATATCCGCGTAAAAGGTATGCTATACGTGTATAATGTGTATGTATCTTTGTTTGTATGTTGTACCAACATATATATAATTTAGCCTTTTCCTAAAGCAATAAAACTTCGAAAGTGTAACTGAAATTACATAATAAGTAATTTCAAACAATTATAGTGACTTTAAAGATCTGCCCACTTTATATATATATATGTTCCTATATTGTACTTGTCCCTCCCAGAAATCTGTGTATATAAATAACCATATCGCTGAACCGATATTAATAAAACATTAAAAAAACAAATAGGCTCATCTCGATATGACTTCTACCTCCCAATAAATTTGTGGAATACATTATGAAATTTAGTACACGTTCTTAATATATATTACAGTATACTCAAATACAAGTTAAGCTGATAAGCTCCTTTACAATTTCAGATGTATCAGGCAATCAACAAAAGTCTCGAATACCACAACGAGTTGTTACTTCGGGTTCTCCCCGAGGGCGACAGCGCTACCCTTACAAACCTAGAGTTAACGTCAATGAAACAATGGTTATCTTTTTATAATATAAGTAGACGTCTTAGTAAACAATATCTTTTTAAATGGACGCCCAGTAGAAAGCACACGAGCCTTGAGAACGAGAGAAATCTTAATATAAGTAAATCACGCGTGACGCGTTTGTCCGCTACGGACTCCTAAACTACTTAACCGACTTCAATCAAATTTGCACACCCTGTTCAGTTTGATCTATCTTAAAAGATAGAATAGCTTACATTTTAATTTATACCCTCAATATTATTTTATTGCAAATTATTTGTTTATTATTTGATAGTCATAATTCTAACAGATGGCGCTGTGTTGAAAGTACCAAAGTTTCACTTAAGCTTCAATTTAATGGAATAGCAACTTAAAAGCATGGTGGTGTGACCCCATGACTGGTATTCTCCTACCATTTCCCTTGAATTGTTTACCACTATGTTTATATAGAACTTTATAAAACCTTAGCCACAGCAAGGCTTGGCCGAGTCTGCTAGTAATGATATATACTGTGAAATTAATACTTACACACACGGTGAAAGAAAACGTCGTGAGGACGGATGTCTCCCTTAGATTCAGAGTGGAGACTTTTCGCAAATTAACAAACTCCCTGTAACTGTATGTCAAAATTATTATTTTTTTTTCAAAATTCACAAATCATTTAATCATATGGGTAACACATTGTACACTTATGACTTGTCAGCAAAGAAATACATAATATTAATGCTTCTAATTTTACATTTAGTGCCAGTTCTCAAGTCAAGGGCGTAGAACGGAAGAGAAGAACTGGCAATAAACTCTCCGCCACTCTTTTTAATCGCCATGTTTTTTTTTTTTACACAACGTTTGTAAGGAGCTGCAACCATTAAACCATGTTCCACATGACATCTTAAGTAATTAATAATAATAACATAAATTAAAAACAAAGAGTTGTCCTCTATCAGCAGGAGGCATGGTGTCCTATTTCACCATGCACGCACTTACATTCTCGTGGGAACAACACGCAAACACATAGTTGAAATAATTAACATTACCGCATACACGAATTCAAGTACGACCAGTCACCACAAGTAGCACCCGTTCACGAGTATGACGCATGGCCAGCCATCGGCCCCCTCGCCATATTTTAGGGAGAGAGACAACTTTTTTTTTTTGAGAAACTTATGCTTGCGTTGATTGTCGCACATTTTGGATGTAAGATTTTGTGAAATTATTGGTAGATTTAGGACTGTGTGTGTATTTAGTTATCAAGCCCACGGGCTTGATAACTAAATAAATAAATAAATAAAACCCGACGCATGGACGCCGCCACAAGCAATGACATTTAAGCGAGCATGACGATCCTTGAAATGTGGACTTGGCTACATAAGAAAAAAATAATAATACTGAAATAATTTGATACCACATGGATCACGGTTTGTTCCCACTTTACATTAAAACAGTCGTGGAAGTTGACGATCGCCCCGAGTCTGGAAATGCAGCCGAGAGGTTCAGTCGCGTTACCTATTTATACTGGAACAACTTATATCCAAGCACTAGGATCGTTTAAATATTTATTTATATTATAATAAGCCTTAGCAAGCAGTTTTACTTTAATGTACGATTTAAATTTATTTATTGACAACACTTGTATCTCACTAGGGATTTTGTCGAAAAAACGTATACAATTGCCTTGGAAAGAATTACTCGTTTTATGCAGCCTTCTGGTTGGTGCGCTAATTTTGTCTTTATTACGAGTACTATAATTATGGAAGCTACTATTCTTTTTAAAGATATCTATATTTTTCCGCACATACAAAATATTCTCATAAATGTATTGACTTGCCAGAGTCAAAATATGTAATTCCTTAAACTTGCTTCGGACCGACTCCCGTGGGGACAACCCACAGATCGCTCTTATAGCCTGCTTTTGCACTACAAATATCGATTTAATGTCAGCTGCATTACCCCACAAAATAACACCATATGACATAATACTATGAAATATGTAAAATGTTTTGACGTTTTTGATATAGATGAGTCATGCACACTTAGCGCTGTCTCGACTTTGAATATTGTCCTAAGACCCAATAATTAACTGTGCGTCTTAGGAAGGCTGTTTGGCTGTATTAAAAAAACATGTTTAGAAACTAATACAGAAATTTGATGCCAATACCATTAACGTAATTCTCATTATTAACATTACTGGGGACGCCTTTGTGTTTAGTTTTTTTCTGTTTATTCTAAGAACCCACATTGTGTAAGAAACTTCTGTGAGCTTTAACCAAATAAATGATGCTATAATAGTTATTCAATATTGGCTATAATAATTATTCAATATTGGCTTCAACAGAAAAATAAAGTAGACTCCGCTCCTTCACCTGCGCTACCTTCGCGTCCTTCTGTGAAAAATACCAGACCAAGGTCGTGTGAGGTAATATTCTAATTAGGAAATTTTTAGTCATTATTTAATACATAAGTAAACTACACATTCGTATTTACAGACTCGGCCAAGGTCGGCCAACAAGAAAGAGGAACAAGTACAAATGGATCCCGCTCTACGACCACAACGGATTGAAAGGGAAAGATTACTCTCCCAAAAGGTATTTCGTTTAGAACTGAATTGAGTGAATTAGTTACGAATTTTAATTGAAATTTAAATAATCTCTGCGCGTTTCTTGGCCTTGTATGGTGGAGATAAATTCGCGTATGAACTAATAGAAAATCCTAAAGTTATTAAACATATCCAGAACTATACCTATCTGGATCTGGCTTCTTCGTATTCATAATGCACCAGGATAGTATTTGACTGAATCTATGTTTAATTCGAATTTCCCAAAATATTGCACAGATTTACAGTCCTATCCTATCCAGTCATATCAGCATATACCACGCAATGCCAACGCTACTTAATCCCATCTTACTTGTATCACTGCAGAATAGAAGGTGTTAACTCCTAATTGGACACGAACAACGGATATCACGTTTATTTACATAGATATACAACGAGCGCGGCCGCAGCGCTGCCAACAGCGCGGCATTTTGCTATAACTAACATAAAATTAGGGGTAGTAGCGACGCTGGACTAACAAAAAACTACATTGACTTATTTAAGGGTTCTTAATTTGAGTGACACTTCCAACCTTACCTATAATGAATATAAGTGTAGTTCATTTATTGGACATTATTGGAAACGAGAATGTTATATTATAATTTATGAGTGTGGGAAAAACTAAAGGGCTGATGTTGGCTTCTGCTTCTTTATTAAATAAAATATATATATGTAACTTAACTAATGTGAGGTAAGATAACTCTCGCTGACCGCATTACCTATTAAACTTAAGATCAGCTCTTGTTTTAAGTTCTCTAGTACTTTTTTATATAGTTGGCCTCCTAACCACTTAATTGTTTTGTGTCGAGCATATAATAAAGAAATACAATTAGATTTTCCACGCATAGCTTACATACCCGTTAAACGAAAACTAATTCAATAATTTTATTTATTCATAATTAAAAGATTAGTTACGACCTTAGAGCCATCTGTGACAATAGGAAAACAATAGAAACATCTTTTCAGAAAGTTTTACCAACATCGCCGAAGAGGAATACTAATGACAAGCTGAAAGAAGTTGCGGCTAACAGAGGCTTAAGGCCGATAATCACAGTTCCCAAACAAGTAAATACATTTTCATGACCATAGTAGGTAATATTAAACAATAGAGTACAGACCTAGAAGCTCGAGGACGGATGGGAAGAACTGGATTTAATCCGTCTCCAATATTAGCCTTGGTATCGTAGCGATAAGCCTTGTCAAATGTATTTTAAGATCGTAAGGAATCCGGCATTTAGACGATTCGTTTTCTTTAAACACCTTCTTATAACGGGTGGCGCAAAAGTAATGGCACTAAAGAAAATTTGTTTATTTTTTTTATATGACGATAGTTTTCATTCTGTTGTTGAAAATTGTGTAGTGAACAAATGTAAAATACATTGAAAATAAACATGGACCGTTTTACTCCCCAAGAACGTGGAATAATCGTGTCAATGTTCTTACGAAATAATTCATCAGTGATAAAAACACAACGTGAATTTTGTCGACGATTTCCTGCAAGATCACCCGATCTGATGAGTCCAGACTTCTTTCTTTGGGGTTTTTTGAAATCTCGGGTGTATGTGAACAAGTCACAGACTCTCGCAGCTCTAAAAGAAAACATTCATCAAGAAATAAGGAACATATCGCAGGAAGTATTACGGCAAGTTATGCAAAATGTATACTTTTGCGCCACCCAGAATATGATATTACTTTCGAAAATTAACCCAAATTCTCAACTCTAAATCTTACTCTTAATAAAACTTTAGGTAATTACTTATTAGTCTTGAATTAGATAATATTGTTATTAAACAATTAGTAACACTAAAAAATTGATCCTAAATGTTAGTGCTGATATTTTTAACTAAATAAAACCATTCTTACAAGTACAGTTTATGAGACTGTGAGATTGTTGATCTATGAATATATTTTCAGAAAATACAATCAAGAATACCATATATAAACAGAACATCCACAATATTACCGGACCAAGTAAGAATTAATATAACATCGTTACTGTAACGAGCTAGACCTTTGTCTGTTTCACGCACAGTACACGTTTCAATAAACTTCTCTAACGGATATGATCGCGAATTTATTATCTACAGAATTTACATACTCGAGTTTTAAGTTAAATAGGGTATTAGTTTGGAAGCGATTAGTCCACCGTTTAAAAAAAACATTAGATGTCTTGTAAGTAGTTAAGAAGTATTTTGATGCCATATTTTATCGGTTTATGTATACTCGTAGAACCAACGGCCAACGGTCTTTGAAATGACGAACCTAGGCTCCTTAAAGAAAGAACGCACCCAGTATATAGGCTGTGAAGTTTTTGCCTCCTTTGCTTCTACAATTGTCATGTCCTAGATTATTTTTACAATCCAACAATTACGATGAAAATTGCACGAAAAATATTTTTGAGCACAAGATTATACACAAACCATCCAGCCCTGCGATTCTGTAACTCACTTTTCGAACTCACACAGCGGTTTTCGCTATAAACACTAAACTACAAGCTCCCACCTTTTCAGAATGCCAAATCATAAAATGACTGCGTCACGACTGATTTGAGAGCGACCGCCGATACGAAAACCGCTCTGTGAGTTCGAAAAGTGAGTTACAGAATCGCAGGGCTGTTCGCAGACTCCAACCCGAGGAGTGATATGAATGGGTTGATAGGGGAGGAGGGAAATATATTTTCTGCGATTTCGAAAGTACAATTCCGGTTCCCAAATTGCATCCTGCTGGTCAATGCAGGTAGGCAAGGCAGTAGTTTCACTTAACATCTGACGAGCCTCCTACGTCATTTATAAAGATATAATTTCACAATGTTATGATAAATACATCTTAGGAGACGATAAAAAGATGTGAAGAACTGGAAGCAAACGACGACTTTGGAGAAAGTTTTGACGTAGACGGTTCAAACGAAAATTTGAGTTATAATGATGAAGGTATTACATATATTTATTTTTATATTGGTCATTGATAGCCTTTTTTATTAAATTTAAAATTGGACTCGGGTGACGCATTATCAAGATATATTCATGCATTTCTATATATTTATATATTGTTCATATATATATATAGAAATGTATCTTCCTCTTTGCAGTATTCATTACTGATGGTCGTGCCTATCTTGAAAAGCCCTAAGCGATACGTGGACCCCGACTTGTCCTGCCATCACTCTTCTCTACCATCACCAGCTTGTCGAGACTATTCGTTTCTCTCCAGACAGTATGGCCAAAGTAGCTAACAACCCATTTGTAAATGATAGTTGACAGACTTGTGGTGATCTTTAGTTGGTTGAGAATGGAGTTATTGGTTCTTTTTGCAGTCCATGGTAGTCGCAACATTCTCCTCAAATACTACAACATCGAATGCCTCTATTTTTTTTCGGTGCTCTGTACGAATTGTCCAGAGTCAGCAGAGTCCTGGTGACTCTGATCCGTACAACGAAAAATGCTTAATTGTACTGACAATCTTGATAATTCCCCCGACTAATAAGTTAAGAATTAAAAACCTATCACGGTTTCAATTGACAGCCAAACAACGATTAAACCCAAAACCAGGAAGTACATATATGGCACGTACTCATTATTAAAATTATTTAAGAGTAATAAGGGTACAAGACCGTTATATTAAAGTAACGTAAAACAGTACAATGTATATTTTAGAGTCCCTAACGTCGAGAAGTGAAAAGTTAGTAAAACTGAAAATGAACTGGCAAGAAAAGGTTGTTCAGTTTGAGAAAATGAAAAGTGAACTGAATGACCGTCAGGTAATAGAAATTTTAATAGTTTAATGTCCCGTAGACAGATTTCTGCATCTGTTTCTTCATGATTGTGGGTTAGAAGGTGATCTGAAAGACGGCTGACGACTATACTTATATAGTTATTAGTTATATTTGAATCTGAGAACTTAAGATCTGCAGAATGTTTGCTAATACGATAATAATAAGCATAATACGAATTATTAATAATATTATTATTTATGTAATAAGTGTTGGTCTAGTGGCTTCAGCAGCTCTTATCCCTGAGGTCGATTGATCCCCTGCTGTGCACCAATGGACTTTGTCTGTTTTTGGTGAAGGAAAATGTGAGAAAACCGGCTTACCTTGACCCAAGAAGTCGACAGCGTGTGTAACTCTACTTACACCTGATGACCAGGCTGATCACCAACTTGCCTTTTAGATTGACAAATGATCATGAAACTGATACAGATATCTGAGGGCCAAACCTATAAATGTTGTAGCGTCACTGTTTTATTTCGTTTTTAATAATAATAATTAACATATTTCCCATGTAGAATGACATACTTCAAGTATATGCATCAATGCGAGTAGCGCATCAAGAACTGTTAAAATTGGGTCAAAAAGCAATTCTCCCCACCACAGAAGACCTTAAAGTTATGAATGTTGCTAAAATGACCCCCGCGCAATTGCTTCAGCTATGTGAAGAGACCAGGCGACAGAAAAATGGCAAGTTTATTTTATACCACCTTTATTAAAGAAGATTTAGGCGATCTTTATAAATTTGTATCATCTAATAATAACGGTTGTATTATTAGACCCACCTCTACTTCTATGGGTGTTTGTTTTACATTTGTGCATTTTATCATATTTTTTATAGGTAAGGTAGGTCTACTTTTTTATCCAGCACGTTGTATAGACCAATTATATGATAATTAATTTTTCCATTTTTACATTAAATTTGTATAATTTCGATATTTCAACTATTTCTCCATTTGAATGAGCTTTAGTATAGAAATATTTGTGATTCTATTATATTGTGATTATAAAAACTTTTTTTTTTATAATATATCCAATCACGACCAAATCATAATATGTTCTAAAGCCAATTTTTTTTGTTTGATGAACGCATTAAATTTATTAAGGAGAGCTATTTGAAATAACGCTTACTTACGCGCTTAGATCTGTATTTAAGAATAACTTAGTGTATTTATTTCAGACACCCAAGTGATTATAAAGGATTCCCTGACTATTGATATGACAAAACTGAACAATATTCCTGCAAAACTAGTCGAAACCTCCGAATTAATTTTAACACAACAGCGAGAATTCACCAAATGGTTCCAAAATGTTATAAGTCAGGAGAAGGTGTGTTTTATTCTATTTTATTTATTTATTTATTAAGTCCTAAAACAACATGTAAGCTCACACACACATACACGTAAGATATTAAAAACATAAAAATTTCAAACTACTAAGGAAAAAATTAAACATAAGCAATCAACAACAAAAAAAAACTAAAACTAAATGGAAACTTAAACCTCATTATAAGCGTAATACGCAAATTACGTTAAGTAGGAAGATTGTTGTAAAATATATCAATATTTTAATTAATTAAGTTGTGAGAGGGAGATAGCCTATTCACTGGACCATTATAGTTAGCAGATAAGCGAGTAGGTACGTATAGAAGACTTTTAGTTCTAGTAACTCTAGGATTACAACGAGAGGAAATTTTTTCGAGCAGGTCAGTATGAGAATTATAATTCAATAGATTGTACAAATAAACAAGGTCTATGAAGTCACGTCGGAGTTTTTTTATCTAACTCGAAATAGTCCAAACGAGCCTCGAATGTCTGCAATAGACCACGCAAGTGTAAACGATTGTAAAAAACAATATTCTAAATGAATGTCGTCATGTTTATATCTACAAAATGTTTTTAAACGAATCTAACAAACATGAAATGTTTGTGTGAATATCACACCTTATTAAATTTGAATTGTATTAAAAAACACATAGGTATATATATACCTTTTCATTGTTGCAAAACATTGCACCAACTATCCCCTGCAGTGTCCTATTTAATCCATAGCATTTGTTTAAAGTGTTTACGTATTTGGAGTTTCTTATAAAAACTTGACCAATTGCTTAAACTTAGTTTTGTTTTAACAATTATGAATATAAGTCCTTATATTATAAATAAGTCGGCAACTTACTCGCGAGCCGTCTGACAGGGAGACTGTCCATAGGCGGCTATAGCTTAAGTGAGCCTCCTGCCCTCTGTTCAACTGTTTCTAAATACAGTGCCTCTCCCATTACGTATTTAATATTTCTTTTTGCCGTTCACAAATAAATTATGGTTAATATAAGAGAATAAATTATAATGAGCTCGGAGCAAAGTGTTCGAGCTCGATTTGTAAATGCGGGTACCAGTTGTATCTTATATTGTATCAGGATTAATTAAAATTTTATTAATTTGTCTTAGGAATGCAGCATAAGAGCCTTATCAAAGAAAATTAATGAATTTAACGCTGAAAATGAAATGCTGAATGGTTTATTACATACAAGTCAAAATGAATTTCTGAAAGAGATTAATGCTAATATGGACTTTTTGAGGTAATCTATTATTTAATTAACGTAATTTATTTTATCTTTGAAGTCATCTTTTTATTGACAATTACCATACGATATAGATTAAAGGCTAATTTTATGTAAGTCTGTGTCTGTATCTTTTGTCGCTATTTATTGCTAAAAGGCTTAAGGCGCGCAATTACTACTTTATTCACTATGACACAATTTCTATGGTACCTTTAAAATATTTCCTTATCTATGGTTGCACCCGCATTTCGGGTAATATATTCATACCTTTTACATTTATTACATTAGGCATTAATTTTTTACGTTCATTAACAAAATATGATAATATAAAATTAAATGAGAATTGTAGATAAACAAAGACAATTTTGTCTCCTTCTTGTGCAAATAGTTCATAAAAGTATGTTGCTTTTTAGCCTGGCTTATAAAACTAAATAAAGAAACTTATTTTTACAGAAAATGTGTGAATGAAGCGATTGGCAATCAGTTACGGAATGAAAAGTTAACATACGAAGTTTCCGAACTAAATTCCAAAATTGTAGATCTTCGCAAGCAACTAACAAACGCAGAACAACAAAAATCGTTTAATAATAAATATAAAATTGAGGTAATATCATAAAAAATCAATTTCTATTTTTATCCAGATCGAACCGCACACACACTTATCAACTTATTTTCTCCGAACATGGCCTAAGGCCATACATTAATATATTTTAATGTATACATAAACGTTCCTATTATTAGGAACTAGAGAAAGACTTAAAAGAACAGAAAATGAAATGCAAGTCACTTCGGGACAGAGCATTCCGAGCTGACGGCCAAGTTAAAATGGAAGCAGAGCGCTCAGCTAATTTAGAAGCAGCGTTGAACCAATCAAGAGTCCACACACGTGACTTGGAAAGAACTATACTACAATTGAAAGAACAGGTTTGTAAAATCTAGTTTGGCTATCCTCTGCTTCTGAGAAATATACATAAAAGTATCTTCTTCTTCCACACACCTTTCGCGCCGTATCGGTCGTTCTGTATGCGTTTATCGTTTTTAAGTAGTCGTCATCTATATAAAAAGTATTTATTATACTTTACCAGGAATTGAATCCAGAAAATCAGGCATATATGCCATGTGCATTACTGACTAATCTATGAACCCAGCTGTATAATAGTTAATTGTTAGTTAAAACAAAATTCACAGAATGAAAGGTTACAAAGCGACTTTGACACTGAATTAAATAAATTAAACGAATCAATTCAAGAAAACAGCGTACATTTAGAAGAAATTGCCGATGCTCGTGAAAAACTTCAAGCCGAGTAAGTATTTCTTTAATTTCAATTAAAGAGAGCAGTATTAACTTAGTGTTGATGTATTGTAAAAATATGTTTATAGAAGAACTTTATTCTCATTAACAAAATATATAGCTATAAAGACTGGCTTTTACGAAAAAGTTGATCGAAAAATCTAAGTGTCAGATTCAGAATTGGTACTAGGCCGAATTATGACTGTATGTAAAAATAAACCAGAAGCAGTGTTGGCCTAGTGGCTTCAGCGTGTGACTCTCATCCCTGAGGTCGTAGGTTCGATCACCAGAGGTGCACCAATGAACTTTCTTTCTATGTGCGCATTTAACATTCGCTCGAACTTTCAAGCAAAACTTGTGAGGAAACCGGCTTGCCTTAGACCCAAAAAGTCAACGGCGTGTGTCAGGCATAGGAGACTGAAATCTACGATATTTGTCATTTGCTAACCCTTATTTGACCAGTTTGTTGCCTGAAAGTTGGTCCCTTGGAGTATAAATCCTAGCAACAAATAATTCATGATTATTTGTAAATCGGCCGGTCTAATTTCGGAGTGTTTTAATGTTTAGATTTGACCTCCTACATAGCTTGATAACGCGCAAAGTTTGAAACCTTGAAGTCCGAACAGATATTGTAGCGCCCAGAGTACTATATTATGCCGTTAGAGATAAGCGGCACGATGATTTTTGAATTAAAACTAACCAAAAAATTTAATTGCTAGAAAAGAAGATTTGGAAAAACGCTTAGAAATTTTATCCATTCATTACAATGAATCTATTAGTAAATTAAAACATGAACTTAGCGTGAAAGTTACACAATTAATAGAGACAGAAAAGAATAATTTAATAGAGGTTGAAGAAAAAAAGAAGTTACAAGGAACAGTAGAAGTTCAGTGTACAAAACTTTTAGAAGCTGAATTACAACACAAAGAATTGATGAAGAGGATAGAAGAATATGAAAAAGAGTTAAGTAAGTGAATTATTATGAAAGCACTGTCGTCTCCTATTTGAGATCTACATAGGGATCTTACACAGATCGCAACATACATGCATACACAAACAGTAGTAGAAGAAAACATCAATTACCCTAATATTCATTATAGGATCCCTACATTATACCCGTGTTTTGAGTTAGTTATTTACGAAATTAAAAAAACTCAAATAATTTAGATCTAGATTTAGTTTTATTTGAGCACGTTATGTCCACATACAGTTTAATATACGAATATTTACAATGTAAAAGATATTACTAAGTATTTATCAACAGATAAATCTCGTGAACGAGAGAGTAAATTGGAAGCTGCAAGAGAAGAACTAGATAGAGTTAAAACAGAAATGGAGCAGTACAAACATCGATTATTGGAAAAAGTGGATATCATGAAAGAAATAGAGGTGAGTTAGTTTGTTCAGTTTCCGAATACGTTAGGTATCATATTTTCTGTCTGTTATATCTGTCATAAGTCTGTTTCACAATGTTCGAATAAAGTACCAAATAGCTATACAACACATAAATTATTTGGAAGATAAATTGTGCTATTTGACATTTCATCGGACTCATAACTTATGATGGACTTTATGTGACGAATAGTATACAATCTGACAGTCGTGAAACGCAACAATAGTGTTTATCCTACCAATAAGAAATAAATAGCTAATTTGGAACTTATGTAGAACTTATCCGTACATTGTGAAACAGACCCTAAGTCTTATTTTCTATTAGAAATGTAACCTATTAATATTAATTAAGTAATCTTAGTAGGAACCTGTAAAATATATCACAGTAATTTGTTCAAAATATTTGTATACCTACTGTTTGTTCCCAGATTAAATTTAAAGAGTCTCGAGGATATGAAGTGAAACTCAAAAATGATTTAAAAACAAAAAATGATTACATCACCGCTTTAGAGAGAAAACAAATGAATTTGGAAGAAAAACTAAGGGAAAGGTACCATACCATTCTTGTAATTTCTTAATTGGTTGTTCAATTACCTATTCATTTTCATAATTTGTTATCAGTGAATCTGAAATGGAGTCCTATAAAGAGCAATTGACGACGCTTAAAAATCATATAATGGAACTGCAAGAATATTTTGGTGACGTTGAAAATATAAATGATTTGCGTGATATGGTGAGTTATATTTAGTAGTATTTGTAATAATTGTGACTTTGCTTTTAAAGACAGCCGTAGTCAAATGCAAACGTTTCCTTAGAACTGGGTTTCGTTGCCAGTGAAACAATCGTTTAGTAATAGTTAAATATACATATATAATGGATAGCTATTTGTGAAATACATTTAAAATAGGACATGCTCATGCCTACCTAGTACCCTTTTTAATATTTTATCATAATTTCTAACATAACGTCAAATTTTCGCCTAAATAACAATTGATTTTTATTTTTAATTTTAAGTTAAATGAACAAAAGCATAAAATGGAAATTATTACTCGCGAGAATCATGAACTCGCACAGACATTGCAAAAAAGGAAAATAGATCTAGAACTTCTGATGGAAAAAAATGTCAGTCACGAACATGAGATTAAGCAAAGAGATGATATTATTAAAGTTCTTTCGCAAAAGGAAGAAGAGCAGGCTAACATCATAAAGCTATTAAGAAATAATTTCGAACACAGATCTAAAATTGATTCCGACGTAACGTATCTTTTTAGTCATCTCGAGTTGAAATTTACTATTTTATTATGTGTGTAATTAAATTAAATAAATACTATATTTGTTACAGTTAAGCAGACAAATTACAGAAAAAAATGAAGAAATCGATGTTCTTATTAATAACTTGGAAACGAGGAAAGGTCAAATATCGCAACTGGAAAAGATTATTCTAACATTAGAAGACCAAATGCGTAAAGCTAGTCAGCAAAAGCGTAAAGATAACGAAAAGATTGAACAGCTCGAAAGAAAGTTTGAGGAATATAAAACTTATATAGAAACCAAAAACAATGTTCCAAGCAAAAATCTAGATAGCTTGTTTGAAATACTGGAAGATGAGTTGGGAAATTCATTTGAACAACAGTTTAAACTTAACGATTCACATAAAAATAAGAAAACTAAGCATAACATTATGAATGATCGCTCGACGATTCCAATATCTCGGGCAAAACATCAGTTGATTTTGAATGAACCCAACGAAGCGCACACTACTATTTTAGTGGGTGATTTTCATCATGAAAATTTTCCAAAGAAAGACAACCAGGTCAGAAAGGACTTGAACCGAAAGAAGGCTAACGTGGAAACATTTAAGTGGGCTGCAGATTGCAATAGAAATACTTTGAATATCCCCCCATGTTCAGAAGAGGAAGCTTTCACAACCATTAAGGAATCCGCTACGGAAAAACATGAGAAATATATAACTCGAAATCTCCAATTACTTGTACCAGATAACTATAGAGATGACAGAAAATATAAACAACTAAAATTGACAAGTCACCGAATCTAGTTTGTTATGTTTATGTGATGTTTGATTACTAAAATAAAAGTCAAGTTTGTTTTAATTTAATTTATTTTCACAAACATTTGTTTCACACATCCTAAAACAGGCTGGAATCTGAAACAAAAAATAATGTAAAGCTTGCTTATTTCGATCGGAGTTTAAACGTTTTAATTTTTTATATTAACTAACTTTTACTATTAAACACACTGTGTGGTTGTGAGGAACCAGTGCTATGACGGGTCCTCAATATTTCACGTTCAAGTATCGCTCTTCGTCGTTCTAGTTGCGTTCTCACACGGCCTTCCCTCTCGAGTTGCAAACTTTGCGCCAGAACTGCGCTCTCCAAATGAATAACTCTGGCACGCTCGGCTCGTAATGCTGACCACGTATCCGCCGCGTACGAAGACATAGATGTCAACGATCGTGATACCTATAAATAATATATGTCAGTATGAGACATATAGTTCTTTGTATTCTAAACTCAGATTTTTCAAAGTGTTGCTATTAAAAAGTTCTCCACCGAAAAAGCGACAAATTTGACCCATTTGAGGGTAATAAAAAATAAAATGCTACGTATTTTTTATGTTTTACGTACAAAAAGGTAAATCTAAATATTTACTTCTCAAGTGACCTAATACAAAAATAACAACTCAATCACGAACAATATATCGAATTAACTTTAATAACTTTATTTTATTCTTTAGCTGGCATCACTGCCTTCTAATTCCAGGCTTAGTAAACCTTTTTAAAAAATAAAATGTTATCGTTTTTTGTTTTGTGATGAAAAGGGACGTAATTATCACTCGCCGTAAAACCATTAATACATTCTCTAACAAATAAAATGTATACATATATAGATAGACTCAGATGTGAAATTAAAAACTGTGCCCGGACAAAAAGGTTTGTAATCTCTGACATGATAGCTGTCAGAGTTTTACGGAATTAAAAATCAGAGTTACACTACACGGAAATCTTGGGTTTGATTCCTGGAGAAATAATAATTGTTTAAAATGAGACTCAGTGCCTCGATAAATACTGTTTTACCAATAATAATTAACAAAGAAACAATGACTTTAACTGATACTTCAGCATGTGACAATTCAGCGTAAGTTATGTCATGAACATACCTCAGGGAAAATAGAGGCATCAGATTCAGGTGGATCAGGGCGGCCTTCCAGGATAGCTTGTAAGTCCCTTCGAGCCCGCGTCATTTTCGCGAAGAGGTCGGCAGCTCGCTCATGCCTCTCCAACATAAGGGCGCGAGACGCTGCGGCTGACACCAGGGCGGATCTCTCTCGTTTTAACGTTTCCACTTGTATCTGCATGTCTAGTAACTTAAAATAATATTTTGTATTTATAAAATAGGTTAATCTTTTATGAGCTTATTATTGATTATGATTCAAGTGAAACATAAGTAATTTATTTATAAGTTCTAAAACAACGTGTATGCATAAAATTATACAATAAAATATGACATCACAAATTTTACACACATACACTTCAATTATTTTAGAACATAAGCAAGCTAGCAAGGGAAAAAATTTAACGAACCAAATAAAATAATAACTAGAACTAAATGAAAACTTAAACCTCATTAAGAGCACGATAAACAAAGTTACCGTAGGTTGGAAGACTGTAAAATATATATATTTTGTCATTAATGTTAGCAATCAAATTGTTATCTATACCTATAACGATTTTGATTACTGAACCTGACCAAGGTGTTGGTTTTAACACAAGTGTTTAATAACTAAACACCCAGTAGGGATATTTATAAAAATATCACCCCTTTGTGTACTATTAAGAGGATTAAATTACTCTAGGACGATATTACTTTGCCCCGGGATAAACAAACAAATTTTAGTACCTCTGTTTGTAAATCTTGGTAAGTAATATCCTTGGAATAACAATCGTAGTTTCGCAGCTTTTTTATCTCCAAACGCATTGCAGCAAGCTGATTTTCATATTCAGTCATACTTTGTTCCCTAATAATAAAAAGGGAATAAAAAGGGATACTCTTCTTTAATGAAATCCCAGAGGCTCTTTTATCTCTGCCTTTTAATAAATTTAAGAAATGTATTAAAGAAAAGCTGTGTAAAAAGGCTTAAAAGTTAACGATTATCTGGTTGATAAAAGGGCCTGGGACTAGTGCTAGACAGGCTACTTCTAATTAATTTGCGATTTTTTTTTAAATAAGTGTTATTTGATGATTTGCTATTTTAAAAGAGTACAGAGAATTTCTTTACGCCGGCTTTTTCTCTCGGCCTACACCCTCTGTCTTCTTTGCCGATGAATAGGGATGCCCACCTATTCAAATTTAATGATGTGGAATAAGTGATAGATGAGTGGCGCCAGTGACATCCTATGTCCATCCTTATCCATTCAAAATGAGGATTAACAAAATTACCTTTGTACAACTTAGTTTTTACTAGATGCTTAAAATGGTAGTAACCCTAATCTCTTCAGTGGCAAACGCTTGGTACAGATACCGGCAAACTTCTTGCCTCTTGAGCATTAAATAAGGGAGTGGGGGAAAGTTTGTGCATCGCAGCGCGGGACACAAACGTCAACTGAATTACCAATCACACGATCGACACGTCACTCTCCTGCCGCCCCCTCCCAATGATACCAAAAAATTGCTTCTGCGCAGGCAAGGACACTTGTTCAAGATTGTTGCCGGTATCTGTATATTAAACAAATCATACAGGTTTTTTTTAGTTCGTATAAACATGACAGGCAGGCTGAGGCAGCATACAGGCACAGATGGGATTCCTTTTTAAAACGTATTATCAGTTTACAGATATACCTTGGCCTCCATTGGACCATTTTCATCGCTTTAGCGATAAGGCAACCCATTTTTGTTTAATACCAACAACGTATTTTTTCATTATTTTATGCGCATTAAAGATTTAGTTAAGAATAGTTACGAACATGATTTTTTCGTTTTCTAAATGGGTTTCAATCACTCGCTGGAGCGCCAATATTTTCTGTTCTCTACTTAATAATTCAGTTGCCAACTTATCATCTTTATTCGCTCCTTCTTCTTGCTATAAGATATCAATGTTTATATGCAATATTCAAATATCAAAAACCATATTTTAATATATGTAACAGAAAAAAGTTTTGACATTTTAAAACATAACGTCCATGGAAACTGATACAGACGCTTTTGTCCATTAAAATGGTACATATCGAGAGAGTACAATGAAATTACCAAAGTAACACTAACATGAAAATTGTCTACTTCAAATGTTTAAAGCTGTGTTTCCCAACGTGATTCCTACGCCCACAGGGGGCGACTCGATAGTTAAGGGGGGCTATTCCAAAATTTATTATTTTTTTAAATAATTATATACAAATTCAGGTTTTCATGATTTGATTTTAGTAAGGCTAAGGGAAACACTGGTCTAAAGTATTAACATAACCAGCGCCAATACTCGGTAACTTTTAATACCTATAACGCGATGTTTTTGTACCCGAGTTGGATTCAATGTAATATATTATCAGCTCATGTCTTCAACCTTGGAATCACTCGGAATAAAAACTCAATATCGTAAACAACATCGTTATCGGTATTAGGAGTTTGAGAGTACCGGCGTAGGAACGCTGAAATTTTTCATATGAATTATACAGACCATCGAAAGATCTATAGTAGCCTTTCATCTAACAATATCGGGTGCCAAAATTACCGCAATCTTTGATAGTGAATTCAAAAAGCTCTCCTTATCAGCTCTGGCTTGGCGAAGGTCATCTTCGGCTCTTGATAAAGCTACACGTGTCACCTGAAGCTCCTTCCAAATCTCCGTTTCATTATCAGACGGTTCAATTTCTAGGGAAAGTCGATTTAAAATATATTACAATTTTATACGTTATTAATATTTGAAGGTACATGACGCTGATTACCTAAATAATAAACATTTATATCATAGAGTATAGCTATAAGTTTAATTAAAATTCAAAAATCAAAATAAAAAGTTATTTATTAACAAGGGATATTTATTTTTAAATACCTATTTCTAATCTACGTTCTACTCGAGTCTTCTACACTGGCTCCAACCAGTCTCTCCACTTGTTAGTATTAAACTTAAAAAATCCCTTATTAATCTAGTGCCCAGCACGTCGGACTGCAGATGATGAAGTCTTCGATTCGAATCACAGGTGACCTAAATACAATTAATATTCCAATGATTTACCCTTCGATGGTATATATTCCAAAACACGCTTGCGTTCCAAATCAACGAGCCGCATTGAGCGATCACGAATCAATCGTAATTGTTCTTCCAACTCCTTTACCCGAGCCTCTAGTTCTGTTACGGTTGATTGGGCTACCTTTCTTCCTTTTTCCTTTACAAAATAAAAGTCCGTTCATATCAACAAATATTGAGCCTGACATATATTGACCGACTCCCGCGTCACTGGCGTTGGACGAGGTAGGTTGTCCGCCAGAGACATAGACAAATTTGATCGTAAAGACAATTTTATTTTCCGGCAACACTAGGCAGGAATGGCCCGTGTCTGTTGCAGCCGCGTTACGATTGTTATGAATAAATAAACATAATTTTGTCTTCCACGCTTAATGTTTGTCGATATAAAGATATTTACACTTTAATATGTCATTTTGGAAGTGGGCTGGGCATACCATCAGAGGACGGTCAAAATGGAGCAAGTCATTAAGGCATAGGTACACAGGTCACATGAAGAGGAAAAGGGGTAGACCTTTCCTAAGGTGGGTTGATGAAATAAGAGCCGTGGCAGGTGGCACTTGGACCCGAACTGCCCAGGTCAGAAATTTATGGTGGCAATTGGAGGAGGCCTTTTCCAACAAAACGCAAACAGACAAGGTTGTCGAGGGAATGTAAATATTCAACTATATTTAAGTTAATTTTTTCAACACTAAACATGTATATTCTAACTTAAGTAAAATTGTATCTTGTCTGAATAAAGGCTTTTATTATTATTATGTAATTTTGAGTAATTTGTGTTTTGTACATCACGTCTATCTAAAT